ATGCCAGCCCAGGGACACTAGGTATCCTGTCCACAGATGGACAGCCAGTGATGAGCAAAGCTGGGACTCTAATCAAGATAGTCCTATAACGCTGAACCACTCCCCACTACCCCTTCTCTTAGACTGCCTCTGGAGACAGGATCGCTGTCCTTGAAGGCCCTAAGCCTGGTTAAGGAAATGAAATAGCAGCCTAAGTCCCACATACTACATTCCTGGGGCCTAGACACTGAGAGCTGAGCAGCAAAGGGGAGGCAGGCTTCTGGGAGAAGAACAGGCAATCCCCGACAGGCGGCCAGGCAGGCAGGAGGCCCGAGGGTCAGGAACCAGCAGCACCCCTGATCCAGATCAGGCAGGACCATGGACCTGAGCAGAGGCTTCTTTTATGTATTTGTTCACTTATTTAAGAGGTGGGGAGAGAGCTTTCATCCCCTCCCTTGATGCTTACCACAGCCATACTGGGCTGGGGCCAAGGCCAGGAGAACCAGGAAGGCATCTCCACCCCCAGGTGGGTGACTTGAGCCATCACTACTGCATTAGCAGGAAGCTAGAGCCAGGAGTCAGAGCCGAACCACCAGGCCAGCCACCCACAGCCCTTCCCCATCCCACCCTGAGATGGAAACTCAGTGTAGCTTGTCATAAAGAAAAGTGATAATACAATGTAGCAGGCGTTGCGAGTAAGGCCGCCCTTATGACACTAACATTGCATGTGGGAGCACTAGTTCCAATCCTGGTTTCTGCTTCAGCTCCCTCCCTGCTCCTGCACCTGGGAAAGCGGCCGAAGACTGCGAGTGTGTGAGCCCCTTCCGCCCCACGGGACAGCCAGGGATGACTGTGTCCTTGTGTCTCTGTAGCTCTGTCCCTCTAGGTTTATATTTTAAAGGGCGAGTAAGAAGTGTGTTTGTAGATTTTTTTTTTTTTAATCACAAAGGAAGATACAACTGGAGAGCAGGAGGGGGTGTGTAGGGATTTGCCAAGTTCTACTCTGGCCCTTACAGTGCGGCCCTAGGCAGGTCGCTCAGTGTCTCTGAGGCAGGGCCTTGACTGAAGGGGAGCCGTCAGTCATGCTTGCCTCCAGGGGTCCCTGAGAGGAGTGAGTGGAATAGCAGGTGCATGCGTCGCAGGGTGCATTGCAGTGATGAACGGATGGACAGAGGAGAGGGTTACAGAGCATGACGTGAGAGCTTTGTCTTGAAAGCTGCTCTGCAGAAGGGTCGCTCTCCAGTGCCACTCCCTGCCCTCTGGAGCTAGCAGCTCTGCTCGCCCGTGCCACCTGTAAGATCAGAGGCAGCATGTCACGGCGCTGCTCACCCTGGCCCCCGAACCATGTCTGTGCTGTCACCGGGCAGTAGCTCACTTGCAGGACAGACTATTGCCTGCTCTCTCCGTACCAGACGCCCCTTGGCTCTGATCGTATCAGCGGATCAGGCTTCTGTGCCTGAGGGGGAATAAGGAGATGCCAGGCCGAGTCCCAGGAAGCCAGGAAGGGACCTGTCGTTCTGCGTGGCCACATGAAAACAACGGAAGTCACGGAGAAGTGCAGGCTTTGCTGTGCCCCGCAAGAGTAATCCCAGACCTCCGCGTGGGCCGCTGTAAGCTCCTCATGCCCGCACCCCTCCCCAGCTCCAGGGACCCCAGGGCGCAGTCAGAGCTTCCCTCCCCCCCCGCAGCCCCTCTGTGCTTCTGTGACCTCTCCCTGTGCCATGGCATGCACACGTGTGTGTGTGTGTGTGTGTCCATGCTGCGTTGTGTGGGTGTTAGACACACTTATCATTTCTCCAAAGTCTGTCCTGAGCCTGCAGTCAGAAGATAATCCCTCCTTGGCATCCCGCCTTATCTCTCGCTGCACACGAGCCCCTGCCAGGAGGCAGGAAATCTGTCCTTTCTGCTGCGCTAACTTCAGCTGCTTTGGTCTCTGGCAGCCCGGGAGCATCTCATTACTGGCAACAACGTGATGGACATGTGGAAGTGCCTGGGGTTGCCCAGTGCCAGGGCAGCCATCTGCCTCTCACTGGAGGCTGCAGACAGCCACAAGCTCTGAAGGCCTGGCCTCACCCCGAGGAAGCTCGCCATCTTGGACAGGGCACAGTGACAGGGGTAGGGCTCAGGGAGCTCTTCCAGTAGCCAGTCTCCCCTCCTCCAACCTGTGCCAGAAGGAGCCCCCTGGGACACTCTCAAGTCATTGGGCCTGCTCGGTGACTCTGAAGCAAGTCCAGTTTTGCAAAAACTCAGCTCTTAAACCCAACTTTTAAAACCAAGGCTAGCGTGCAAGCTGAAATTGGCTCCTGGAAGGAAGCCGTGCCCAGTCCCCTGGGGCGGGAGGTAGGCATGGGTGGAAGCCGAGGAGGTCCTACTGGACATGCCTGGGGACGTAGCCCCCACTCTCCCAGGAGCCCAGGAGAAGCACAGGGAGCTGGAGACATGGGAGCAGCTTTCTGATAGATGAGGGTTTCTCCACATTGGCATGGATAAGTTACTGAGGAGAGCAGGAATGGCATGCGTATTTTTGCCACAATTCACACGTAAAAACCATGGCAGGCCTTTATCTGGGGATCTAGATGCTGATGGAGAGCTCTGCATCCCCGTCAGAGTATCCTGCCTTCAGTCCCGACTCAGCTTCTGCAGAGGCACAACCTGGGAGGCTCCTGTCTCCCACGAGCAAACAGGACTGCACTCCCTGCGAAGGACGAGCAACAAATGGGACATTTCTGTCTCTTCCGATCCCTCTACCTCTGCAACAAAATTTTCCAAAATCTGAAGGTTGGTTGATTGACCTGAAAGAGAGAGAGACTTCTCCCATCAGTGTCCACTGATTCCACTCATCCACGGAGTGCAGGAGACTGCGTGGCGGTCTGGGGTGAGGATGGGCAGCGTGGCGACATGCAGGTGGCGGAGATGGAAGGACAGAGAAGCAGCTGCAGCCACCTTGGCTGGTCCGGCAGTGCTGAGGCGATGCAGCCACTGGGCCACCGGCAGAGGGGGACAGTGGCCACAAACCCGGGTCAGAGAAGAAACGATTGCCTAGCAGTGTGAAGATAGCCCGGGGGCTGGGGTCTGGGTTGTGTGACACCATCAACCTGCAGCGCTGACATCCCGATTCTGTTACTGGCCAAGTTCGGTATTCTCCTCTCACCTTAGTACAGAAATAAAAAGTCAGGAAAGGAAGAAGGAGGGAACGTGCCCCCCAGGAGGGACCCAGGAGATGGAGTGCCTCTTGGAAGGACAGAGGGTTTTAGGAAGGGTCCTGGGTTTCTGAGCATTCCCTCACTCCTTGTCTGGCTGGGAACCTGTGGGGAAGACCTTTCCCATTGACGGTGTCTCAACCAATCAGGAAATGGCGAGGCTGCCATGCTGCCACGTTTGAAAGTGTGGTTCTCCTGGCCAAGATTTTAGCAGGTTTGGATAGTCTCAATTTGGACACCCATTCAAGTCCCAGCTGCTCCACTTCTGATCTAGCTCCCTGCTGATACCTAGGGAAGCAACAGAGGATGGCCCAAGTGTTTGGACCCCTGCACCTGCACGGGAGACCTGGATAAAGTTCCAGTCTCCTGGCTCTGGCCATTTATTATTTATTATCCATTATTTGTTATTGAGGCCATTTGGGGAGTGAACCAATGAATGAAAGATCGCTCTTTTTCTCTATGTAACTCAACCTTTCAAATGAATAAATAAATCATCTTTAAAGGACTAAAAAGGCAGTATTGGAAAGAAATGTTTTTTCTGCCTGTGTGAATGACAGGTGCCTGCCGTGCAGCCTGCATGGAGGTTGGCTACTGTGCAAAGAACCTTTAAAACGCTGGAGCATGTCGCAGCGTGGCAGTGGTCTGAGACTGACAGGGAGGGGTCTTGCTGGCAGCTGCAGAATGGGAAATGCAGTTCCAGCTCTCTGCCCTTCCTGACTTGCTTGGGTGCACGCCAGGCTGCATGCCTAGACCCAGGTCAAGATCACAGGCAGTGGCCACAGTCAGCTTTTCTTTGAGCCCCACGGCTGCTCAGGAATGCTGTTGTTACTGCCATTGGCCACAAGGGGTCCCTGCCCTCCAGGCTTGAGCCGCAAAGCTGAACCGCAGCTCCTCGGGGAGGCAGGGCTCCCCAGGGAGGCAGGCCAGAGGGCACCGCTGGTCTCGGGGTCCACACCCTGGGGGCAGCGAGGACCCTCCTGCTACCAGCGTGCGTATCGTTACCACAAGCAGCAGAGAGAACAACCCTGAGGATTGTCGGCTCTCTTCTGTATGACTAGGCAAACCCCAGCCCCCCTCTGAGCCTGTTCTCTAACCCACCAGGGAAAGAAGCTGGAGTGAAATCTCACTGGTTTCTAAGGGCCCTTCCAACGACAGCCCTGCCACAGCCTCCCCCCTGCCGCGTCCCTTACAGGGGGAGGTGACAATGGGGGCCAGGGAAACGGAAGGCGGCGTCAGCACCTTCCAGCAGAGACCTCAGCTTCCTTGCAGCTACCACCTCCCTGGGGACGAAAAGAGACAGAGTGCCTCCATCCACTGCTTCACCTCTAGTGGCTCGGAAACTCCGTGAGAGTGCAGGGACCCAGCTGCTGGAGCCAGCATCACTGCCTCCCAGGCTGTGCATGAACAAGAGAAGAATCAGAGCCGGGACTCAAACCCAGGCTGTCTGATGTGGGCTGCAGGGACCTTAACTGCTTAGCCGAATGCCTACCCTGACCATCAGAGGCAGAAGAGAGCTCAGTGCCAAGGGCGCCATTGCCAGCCATGCCACCTTGTCCAGGTCTTTGATTTCCTTAGCTCTGCGTGGGGACAGGGGTGCTTACGGGACTAGCTCAGGCACGTAGGCTGGGGCTCAGTGAGCGGAAACCCCGGCAATGCGCAGCATACATGTGTGTTCATGTGCCTGTGTGCCCACACTCCTGTGTCTGTGTCCATGTTCCTGTGTCCATGTGTGACATTCATCTCCCTTACCGTTCTTGCAAAGTCTCAGCCAAAACTCCCTGAGGCCAGGACACTGACAGTCTTTTTGGGGTCTCCCACCAGATTGCCAAGGGATCATCGAGGATGTGGTCCTGCTGGGGGCGCCCGTGGAAGGGGAAGCCCGGCACTGGGAGCCTTTCCGGAAGGTGGTGGCCGGGAGGATCGTCAATGGCTACTGCAGGTGAGTGCCTGCCTCGTGCGGGGGGTGGTGCCACTGCCCCAGCATGTGTGCTTGAAGCCCTGTCCAAAAAGATGCCAAGCACTGGCCATGTCAGGGGCAAGATCCTGGATGGGTGCTGTGACCCGGGAGGCGCCCCACTGTCTGGGATGGGTGCTGTGACCGGGAGGTGCCCCCCCCCATCTGGGATGGGTGCTGTGACCCGGGAGGTGCCCCCCCGTCTGGGATGGGTGCTGTGACCCGGGAGGTGCCCCCCCGTCTGGGATGGGTGCTGTGACCCGGGAGGCGCCCCACTGTCTGGGATGGGTGCTGTGACCGGGAGGCGCCCCACTGGCTGGGATGGGTGCTGTGACCCGGGAGACGCCCCACCGTCTGGGATGATTGTCAGGCCTTGAACCAGCAGCTTACAGGGTGCTGGAGGTGGGTGGACAGGTGGCACATTTGACGGGTAGTATTTGAGACTGGGAGACAAAGATGGGGACCTAAAAGGGGCTCTTGGAATGCTGGGGCCTAGGTTGAGTTGTCAGCCCTGTGCTCGAACAGGATGGGGCAACAGCCCTGTCACAGATGGAGTGACAGACCCCCACAGGAATGAGACCAAGGCTGACAGCTATGTGGCATTTGGGAGAAGGGATTTGTGGAATCTCGGCCAAGTGCACGGCTCTGATTCGGAGAAAGGAGGAGGATGAGGCCGCCGCTGAGCAGCTGGCAGACCTGAGAAGATGCCCCACGGTCAGCAATCGATGCGGCAGAGGCCCAGGGTCAGTGTCCCATAGCCTGTGCCTTCAGCTGGCTGCTTCCCCTTCAACTCTGAGGGGTTGTGGCAGTAGTCACATGGGTAGAGACGTGTGACATACGTGTTCTGTGACTGACGGGGCCTGGCACCCTTTGCTGCTTTATTTATTTATTCCTTGTCGCTCCCTTGGGATGCTTACCACTTCACACCAAGCTCATGCCAGGCACCATGGTGCGGAAGCCCTGGAGGGCGGTGCCCCATCCCAGCCTCCTGAGACCCAGCGTCCAGCAGCGGAGCAGGCAGGATGACAGGTGACCCCAGCCAGGCGCTCGAGAGCTTCCTGGTGACACCAGACCCCCCGCAGCTCTGAAAGCCCAAGGTGGGCAGGTGTGCGTTCAGTGGCAAACACGCCCTGACCCAAAGGAGGGCAGCAGTGGGCCTGACCTCTCCGCTCTGCCCCTGGGCTGGGGGCCAGGGACACCACCCCAGACCTCGCAGGGACACTGTGTGAAACACAGGCTGAGTGCCGGATACATCTCTGCAAAAATCCAAAGCGCAGCGGCTTCTGAGGCCCTGTTGTTTGCGGATCACAGCGCGCACAGACCCAGCCCCCACCCCCTAGCAAATGGGATGCTGTAAGCCCAGGCCTGAAGGTCATGTCTGGAATTTTAAAAGGCTAGGTGATTCTTTATAGGATGACAACAAAGAGAAAGGAGGGAATGACTTCAAAGCTTTGGTGGAAATGGAGTGGGTCTGTTAACACAGCCTTCAAAATCACCATCAGGAACCAGATGTGAGCCGGCTCTGCGGCCTAGTGGGGAGTCAGCGCCTGCAGCACCAGCATCCTCCATGGTACCAGTCTGAGTCCGGCTGCTCTTTCTTTGCATTTATATATACAAGATGTATTTATTTTTATTGGAAAGGCAGATTTTTTTTTTTTACAGAAAAATCTTCCATTCACTGTTTCACTGCCAAAATGTCCACAAGCTGATCCGAAGCTAGGAGCCAGGAATTTCTTCCAGGTCTCCCACATGGGGATACAGTCCCAAGGATTTGGACCACCCTCCGCTGCTTTCCATGCCATAATTAGAGAGCTGGATTGAAAGCGAAACAGCTGGGACACAAACTGGCACCCACATGGGTTGCCAGCACTTGCAAGTGAAGGATTAGCCTGTTGAGCCACTGCGCCATGTGCTGGGGAAGCAGCAGAAGATGGCTCAAGTGCTTGGGCTTCTCACCCACATGAGAGACCCAGAAAAAGCTCTTGGTTCCTGGCTTCAGCCTGGCCCGGCCCGGAGTATTGGGGCCACTTGGGGAGTGAACCAGTAGATGGATGATTCATGCTCTCTCTCTCTGCCTCCCACCCCTCTTCCCATAACTACCTTTCAAATGAATAGATCTCTCTTTTTTTTTAAAGATTTATTAATTTATTGGAAAGTCAAATATACAGAGAGGAGGAGAGACAGAAAGGAAAATCTTCCATCCGATGATTCACTCCCCAAGTGAGCGCAACAGCCGATGCTATGCCGATCCGAAGCCAGGATCCAGGAGCCTCTTCCAGGTCTCCCATGCGGGTGCAGGGTCCCAAAGCTTTGGGCCGTCCTCGACTGCTTTCCCAGGCCACAAGCAGGGAGCTGGATGGGAAGTGGAGCAGCTGGGATTAGAACCGGCACCTGTATGGGATCCTGGGGCGTTCAAGGTGAGGACTTTAGCCACTAGGCCACGCTGCCGGACCCTGATCTTTTTTTTATATGTGGAGGAAGGACTTGGGAAACAGCAGGTGCTTTGGGATAGTAGTGGCAAAGGAGGAAGCACGCCTGGAACAAGGGCCTGGTAGCTCGCCAGCTCCTGGGCCACAGCTGAAGCCGGGGAGGGGCCGTCAGGTGAGAGCACTGGGGACTGGGGGCGGGGGCAGATACAGGGGAAGAGAGAAGTGCTGGAATCCTGGTCCTAAGGAATTTCGTTCAGAACAGGAGCAGGAAGAGGCTCAGCTGAGGTTAAGAGTACCGAAACAGTACCCAGCAGAGCGTGTGCCGAGACCCCTGGGCTAGCCCCGAGAGTCCAGAGGTGGCCAGAGGACAGGAGTGCATGTCTGATGGGGACACGGCTCCCCAGACCCAGCAGGGCACTGGCTGTGATATGGAGGAGGACACACAGGAAGTGTACCGGTCAGCGTCGGAGCCAGCCCCTGGGGCCAGGCCAGGAAGGGGAGTTATCCAGTTCACAGTTTCAGCGGCTACACATCCAGGCAGTACACTGCTGCCTGTGGTGACAGACCCCTTCCAGCTCCCCAACCCTCCGCACCCCAGCAGGAGCCAGGAACAGCTGCAGGAGGAGGAGCTCGTGTCCATACTGGAAGTCAGAAAGTGACCCTGCGTCAGAACCGGGCTTCTGCAACAACCTAACGGGCCAGTGAGACCTGCCACGGGCAAGGACCGGCCCAGGCCACACCACCTGCAACCAGGTGGGCCTTGTGGGAGGCAGGCCACATCCAATTCACAGCAAGAAGCACTGGATTCAGACCCCATCTTTGTTAAGCACTCTCCCCACCCCCACCAGCCCTAGGGGTCAGGATCATTAATCCCATTTCATGGATGAGAGCACTGAAGCTCAGGTCAGGCCACCTGCCCACAAAGAAACTGTCCCCTTCTCCAGTGTCACAGCGAGAGCACTGTCCTGGAGCCTGGCTCAGCCCCAGGCCGTAACACCTGCGCTAGTTGGGCAGGTCCGCCCGGAGCTTCTGCCACACTTCCCCAGTGCACACAGGAGCGTGTGCTGGGGTCTGGCAGGAGTGCGCTGCACTTTGGATCCAATGGAAGCACCCAGCAGCCCAGATGACATTTTGCTGTTGGCTTCCTCCTCCTGCTGGCAGTTAGTGGGCCTCCAGATGAGGCTGCTTAGCATTGATTTCAATCCAAGCTCAGGCACCCGAAGCGAAGTGGAATTGATTTTAGAAATCTTCATGATTGTGATGACTGAGCCCACAGCAGCGATCCACTAGCCAAGGAGCTCAGAGCTGACAATGGGTTTTAGCCACAGGTGCAGGGCCTGGAGCAGGACCCAGGGGTTCAGCCCATGCCTGCGACACCATCAAACCTGCCCTGAGTTCTTGGGATCAGGATGTGGTGCAGAAAAGCAAAGATAAACAGTCCATGCAAATCAGTAATTTAAAAAATCCAATCTAGGGGCCAGCCTTGTGGCTCAGTGAGTTAAGCTGCTGCTTGCAAGGCTGTGCCAGTGAAGTCCCAGTTGCTCCACTTCTGATCCAGCTCCCTGCTAACCGCCTGGGAAAGCAGCAGGAGATGGGCTGTTCCACCCATGTGGGAGGCCTGGAGAGTTACAGGCGGCCGGCTGCAGCCTGGCCCGGTACCAGCTGTTGCATTTGGAGCGTGACCTCACAGATGGAAGGCCCCTCTCCTCTCTGCATGGTCCAACCCCGTCAGGATTCAGGCTGGAATCTGAGTCCCTGTTTGCTGCCGACCCAATGATCAGACCTGGACAAACATGAACAGCATTCCGCGTTGGGGAAGATATGGGAGAACAGGCTGTGTCATCCACCCAGTGGCAGCTGGGTTTAGCAACTGCTTTGCAAAACACTTGACAATACCTATCAAAAATTGTTAAGATTTGTTGATTGATTTGAAAAGTCAGAATTGAGAGAGCAAGATCTTCCATCCACGGATTTATTCCCCCAAATGGCCACAATGGCCAGGGCTGGACCAGGCTGACGCCAGGACCTTGGAGCTTCTTCCAGGTCTCCCACCTGCGTGTAGAGGCCCAAACACGTGGGCCATCCTCTACTGCTTTTCCAGACACATTAGCAGGGAGTTGGGTCAGAAGTGAAGCAGCCAGGATTCAAACCGGCACACAGGCGTTGCAGCCACCGTTTTTCCCACCGTGCCATAGTGCCAGTGCCTCTGTCAGGATTTGTGAAGCGCCTCTCTGCTGACTCGACACCTTTTGACTTTCAGGATTCAACTCTACAGGATGCATGCATGTACACAGGGGGTCGCTGTAGCTTCATTATGATTAAAAATTGTGAACAGCCTAGGTGACCATAAAGAGGGAGTCATGAAGGGGAAAAAGCCAGTGTAACAGTTAATAGCGTGATCCATTTAGAAGAGAAAAATGTTTGCACACATGTATCTGTCTATTGGCATAAAACGTGTGTGCACGCGGGTATCTGGTCATACCTATAGAAAGGCCTAGAAGAACTGTAGGGAGCTGCATAGTGGGCAGATGGGAGCAGAGCGCCACAGAGCTGTTACTCTGATGTTTTTAATGAAGGAGCCTTTGAACAAGAACAAAAGGTGGAAGAATGGACAAAGATTTTGCTGCCAGACAATCCTGGCTTAAAATCACGGCTCCTGGGTGGCTGTGGACCAACAACTTCCCTGGCTCTCAGTCTCTCTGCCTATAGAATGGGAATAATGGCCCCTCCTGTGTGGGGTTCCTAAAGATGAAATGCAATGGGAGAGGGACTGGCACATCACAGGTGCCCGGGAATGACAGCAGTCATGCGTGGATCACTGGACCCAGGCGTGTGGCCCATGGATCAGGGCTACTTTGCATAAGGGAGGGCATTAGAATCGCACGTGTGCAGTCTTACTGATCACAGCACCGTGTTACTAACCCCTCTGCTCTATTGCGAAGTGGATAAGCTTGGTTAGTACTGATGTTAGGAGAGCCCGAGCCATGTGTCAGTTAGGAAAGGAAGCAGAGGGAACACAGACACCCAACAGCAGCTGCAGGTGCCTCCAGCCCAGGAGACCCCAGCCAGGTTTGGGGTACTCGGACCCCACCCCATGAACAGCCTTGGAATCTCTGGGAAACTCCTCTAGGGTGGGACGGGCGAGGGTTCAGGCCTGAGCCGAGTCCATTTATAAAACCGTCACGTGTGTGAGCAAAGCTTTTCCAAATGCAGTCACTTCTGTGGGCCTCTCACAAAGCTGGGGGCACCCTGGGGTAAGCAGCTGCGCTCCTCATTGTCCCTTACGGAAGGGACACTCGGGGCCAGCAGAGTGGCACATGAGGTTCCTTCCAGCCCTTCCTTTCCCAGGGAGCCCCAGGCCAGTCCCCTCTCCCTCCCCAGAGCAGCTGTCCTGAGCCCGTGCCCATCTGGGGAGCACTGAATCCATGCACAGTCTTTCATCTCGTCGATATGCCTCCATTGCATTCCAGACCCAGGTGCAAGTGTAAGGACCCAGCAGGGAGGGAAACGCACGGCCAGCCTCCTGGCGCTCCTGTGGAACCCGGGCAAACCCCTGGGCAACGTGCCTGGCACTTGAGCTGGCAGATCTCATCTGCTGCCCCCCCCCATGTGTTGTCTGGGGCCCTGCAGATGCCCCAGGCTCCCCAGGGGGCGGGCGGGCCCGAGCCGTCCTGGGGCTGACCTCACTGCCCTCTGCTCACCTGCAGGGGGGACTGGCTGCTGAGCTTCGTGTACCGCACGTCCTCCGTGCAGCTCCGTGTCGCAGGCCTGCAGCCCGTGCTGCTCCAGGACAGGAGGATGGAGAACGTGGACCTGACCTCAGTGGTGAGCCTGACCTGGGCCTACCCCAGCTCCTGGAGACCGTGACCCTGGCCGGGTGCAGGCTCGGAAGAGTTTGCCTGGGCTGGGGGTGGGGCTCCTATCTGCCCTGCTCCTGTGTGGGGCTTTGTCCCGGGGCCTTGACACGTGTTGTCCCTCATCTCCCCACAGCTTTTGGGGCAGGCACTCTTGTCCCATTTCACAGATGAGGAAATAGGCTGAGAAATGTTCCTGTCGAGCCATTAGCAACTAACAGGCCTGGGCTGGGACCTCTTGGCCCCGCGTTATCAACCCCCCACCCACCTTTCAGTGCTCTCCTTCCCCCAAGTTCTCAGCCCCGGGTCAGCCAGTTGTTCCCAGACGTAACCAGGTCCAGGAGAAGATGCAGGGAGAGGACTCAGGCCAGACCAACAGTGGAGGCAGCCGGCAACAGAAGGAAGGCCCAGGGGCGCCATCTCCACCACTCCACCATCTCCGACTCAGGGCCCGTAGACCCCAGAGCAGAGCCTACATTTCAAGTGGGGAGTTCGTTTTTGAGAAACAGATTTTCCACCCTGCAGTTCACACCCGCAATGCCTACCGTGGCCCCGGCTGGGCCAGGCTGAAACCAGGAGCTAGGAACTAACTCCAGCCGGGTCTCCGTGGGGGTGGCTGAGGCCCAAGTCCTGGAGCTATCATCGCCGCCTCCCCGGGTGTACATTAGCAGGCACCTGAGGCTCGAACCCAGGCCCTCGGTAAGGAATAAGGTCCCCTGCCCAGCCCAGCAGGTGCTCAGCCACATGCCCATCCTGAGCCTGCATTTTATTTATTTATCTAAAGATTTTATTTTATTTGAAAGAGTCACAGAGAGAGAGAAATCTTTAATTCACTGTTTCACTCCCTAAATGGTCCCGACAGCCAGAGCTGCCCCGGGCCGAGGCCAGGAAGCCTGAACTCTGTCCGAGTGGCCCAGGTGGATGCAGGAACTCGGGCGCTTGCGGTCCGTCACCCGCAGCTCTCCAGGCGCGTTAGCAGGGAGCTAGATCCCAAGCGGAGCAGTCAGGATTGCAGCCTGTGCCCGTCCTCACCAGCTCCCTCCCCGAGGGTTCCTCAGTGTCTAACCGGAGACTGGGCACCAGGTGCATACTTAAAAAGGAATGGGGTGAGACTGCCTGCCCGGGCAGCCCCCACTGACCGTTAGGCTGAGGGGTCCTTGTCCACCAGCCACAGGGTTCTCAAGGGGAGTCCATAGCCTCCAGTTTGGACAGGCCCTATGTCCAGTTCTGCCCAAAGCCTTTTATACTCATTTTTATCCCCATTGTACAGATGAGAGACTGAGGCTCCAGGGTGCTAAGGGTCATACCACAGCACTGGAGTGTGGCCGAGAACAGCTCAAAGCCGAAGCCGGTTCAAGGCCAGTGGGCATAGCCCGAGCTCGGGTAGATGTGACAAATGGCGGGCACCCTCCTCTGGGCGCAGGAAGGCCATGAACCACCATGACATGAACATGTAGCCAGCAGCCGAGGAAATCCTGGTCATGCCGGGGACCTGGGGGGATGCTGACTTCGTTTTCCTGGTGTTACTGTCAGTTGCCAAGCCCTTCCCACGGGTGCCCCAGTTTCCATGTGGCGTTTGAGCAGCGCCGGCCTGCCCAACAGCAGATGGACCCCACCCGTTGTCCCTGAGTGTCAGCCAAGCCCGTCCCCCTGTCGCTCCCTGGAAGCTGTTGGGCAGAGTGAGAGTCGCCCTCCATCGCCAGGGAGGGCCCTGCCAGCTGAAGCCCCAGGCTTGACAGAGAAGCCCCCTTCCTCTGCAACAACTTGGGACCTAGCACCTTCCCAGCCTGGGGGCCATGGGGAGGGTGGTGTGACAGAACTGGTGACTGGTTGGCCGAGGATGTGGAGGGACAAGGGACCCCACCAGCTTAGCCTGGAGCCCTGGGGAGGGCTGGCTCAGCCCACACACTGTCCTCCCGCAGGTCAGCGGCCACCTTGACTACGCCAAGCAGATGGACGTCATCCTGCAGGCCGTGGGCATGCGCACCAGGCCAGGCGGGGCCGAGAAGGGGCTCCTGCTGGCCTCAGCAGGTACTGCCTCAGCCAGTGCAACCAGCCACCAAGATGGACAAATACAGGATCTGGAGGCTGGAGACACTCCCAGAGCGACCCCGCCTGCTGACCCCGGCCGAGCACAGGTGCCAGAGGGACTGGACCAAGCCGAAGAGCAGCCCCTTCCTGCCACTGCCAGCCCCTCTAGCTGCAGCCATGGCGTGGACTCCAATCCTCTGGGCTGCCCAGACTGCATCCCTGAGCCCCCAGAGCCCTGCCCAGGACTGCCCTGACCCCAGCAGCCCCCAGCTTCCAAAGGGCAGTGCTTTCTGCACCCTCAGTGCCCCATGGGCACCGGGAAGGTACAACACTCCCGCAAGTACTTCTAAGCTGAAGGAAGGAACTGGAATTGGGATGAAAGGGGTTTGGAGAACAAACATTTCTTCCTGGAGGAAGCAAGGCCTGAGGCCCACCTGGTCAGCCCAGCCCAGGGCAGAGCCCTCCCGTGCTCCCCCTCCCAGCCCATTTCAGCCCAGCCTGAGGCTCCTGTGCTGCAGGCGTTATCAAGGGACCAGAGGACCCTCTGGGAGACCCCCATACTGCCTCTCCCGGGCCACGGGGAAACTAATTCCCTCTGTGCTCCCACCCATACTGCAGGGCTGCCAGCAGCCAGGGGCACTACCAGCGGGCACCTGCGGAGCAGGCATAGGTGCAAAGTGGGCGGCCTCCTCATAGGAGAGCTGCTCTGATCTGCCATGCACTGCCGGGCGGACTGTGCACTGTACCACCGTAGGAACAGCTTCATACAGATGTGAATGGCATCCTCAAAGTCACGTCCCACAATGGCCCTGGCTAGTGATGGGACGGAGCATGGTGAGGGGCACTGGGCCAACACTCGGTGTGCTTGGGACCCGGGCCTGGTGACAGTGGATCACACGGGAGATGGGGACAAGGACGGTAACCACCCTGGATGATGATAATAAAACTGCCTCTTGTTGCGTGTCCACCACGGCCAGCGAACTTGGCCTTTCAGTTGACCTTCACAGCCGCTCAACAGGACAGGTGCCTTTGCCAGTCCTCTTTCTGCCTGTAGGTGACAGGGGAGCAGCAGGAGAGTCAGGGACACAGGAGCTGGACCGCCACATGTCTCCATCCATTCAACATGTACACAATGCCAGCTGCCGCAAGCCCTGGGTGACCCATGCCACGCGTGGGGAACTGTGGCCCCGAGGAGGGGAGTGACGTTGTTGGGAGTCCCGGAGTAAACTGGGAGCAGAGTCCTGACCTGAGCCAGGACACCTGTGCCCAAGGCCTCTTTCCAGCACCCCAGCTGCTCCCTCAAGCCCCGAGAGGCCCTCAGGTGAATCCAGCACACGCCACGGTCTCGGAGTCAGCTCAGGTTTATTGACAGTGTCCTTGAGAAGGCCTGGGGGAGGGGCACAAGGGAAGCCCCAGAAGCACCGTGGCCCCGCAGCAGCCCGTGGCCTGAGCCCGTCGGATGTGATCAGCACCAAGGAGAGCATCGGGCCCAAGCAGGGACCGCCAGGACTTTGAGTTGGTGAAATTTGGTGCGAAAGCTTCTGGAATAAAGAAGCTTGGGCTGAAAAGAAACCTATAACGGATAAGCCGTGGGAACTAAGAGGGCCACTCTCCACTGACCCTGGGGTATGCCAGGGGGGCAGTGCCATCCGGGGCTGCTTGCACCCTCAGCCAGGCCTAAGGGAGCCCCAGGTGGAGAACAGCCTGCTCACAGACCCTGAGCACTCTGTAGGCATCCCCCTCATCCCGAGGCCCCCGGCAAGGTGGTGCCTTTACCCCATTTTACAGGTGGAATAACTGAGGCTCAGGTTGTAGAACCTGAGCCAGGCCCCAGAGCTAGAGAGCTTGAGCCTGCCTGGCTCCCGCCCTACTGCATCTCTCCCAGGCAGATCTCTCGTCCTCTGTCCTACAAGTCCTTCTCAGGGTTGAGGGTCTTGTAAGCCACCCACCCCAGACTTGCACATGCACACAGCTCCCCAGGGACTTTGTGAACATGAACTGTGACCCAGCAGGGCTGGGGCAGTACAGGTGCGACTTTTTAACAAACTCCCTGCAGGTGGGACGATGTCAGTGGTGCCCATGTCTTAAATAGAGGGACTGGCCCAGCCCTGATCCCTGTCCACATCTGGAGGCGTCCCCTCCCCCCGGGCAGCTCAGGATGAGCAAAGGACAGGTGTGTGGCCATCCTCATCAGAACTGGGAGATCCTCTTCCCAACCCCCCACAGCCCTCTTGCTGTCCTCTACACAAGTCACCTAATGACAACGGAACCTTCTCAGGAGACCTGCAACCAAGGCAGCTGTCCTCCCTCTGAGCTCAGAGGGCACCCCGGGAGACCTGGGGGCTCCTGGCCTAGTCCGGAGCTGGCGTGAGATCTCAAGGCTTGTGCCCAGTGGCTCCTGCTTCCCTGCTGGCCAGCACTGAGTCTGTCAGTTCGTGGGGATGTGAGGCGGATGGCGCCGAAGCTCTGGGTCCAGGGGTTCAATCTTAGAGATGACGGCGGTGGGCCTGGCAGGTGGTGGGAGGTCTCTGGCGGCCTCTCCAGGCAGCAGCAGCTGGGCCCGGAGCCGCAGACCTGCGGAGCTGCTGGAACCCAGATCCGAGTCAGAGTCCAAGTCCGGCGGCAGGGACAGCGGCTGCACGTGCTGCAGGCTCAGGCCCGGCCGGGCACCGCTGTGGGACGTGCGCATGGACGGGGAGGCGAGGCTGGCCTGGTGCTCCCGGGGGCAGTGCGAACAGGGCAAGAACCTGCCCAGGGCCCGCTTGAAGTCCCGCATGAAAAGGGGGTAGATGATGGGGTTCATGGTGCTGTTGCAGTAACCCAGCCACGTAAGAATGTCGAAGAGGCTGGCCGAGATGCAGCTGCACACAGCCTGGTGGGGAGGGACGTGTCATTCCCGGTCCATGGCCCCAAGTCACCCCATGAGGCAGGAGGGAACAGGTACACACCCACATACAGGGCTAGGCTGCCCACCCTGCTCCCTCTTCCACCTGCCCATTCCCAGTGTTACCTGGACTATGTTGACCACAAAGAAAGGCAGCCAGGTCACAAAAAACAAGCCCAGCAGGACACCCAGCGTCAGGCTGGCCTTCAGCGCCTTCCTGCTATGCTTGGTGGCCAGGCGCCGGCTGTCAGCCGACTCCACCCCGGTGCGTGGGGTCCTAGGCACCTATGGAAGGAAAAGCCATGTGATTCAGCTGAGCCGAGGCCGGCTCGGACCCCAGCCACACACTGCGCCTCAACCCAGACCAAGCCCCAGTACTGCTGAGTCAACTGAGCCCTCATTGCTGACTGAGCCCCAGCTGGAGTCCTGGACTCAGGCCTGGCCTTGACTCTGGAGGGAACACTGGCTCCGGACCAAGCGCTGGCCATGGCACCAGATGAACCCTAGCGTTTACCACAAAGCCCCACAAAACCAAAGTCTGAAACCAGAGACCCAGATAGAACCCTGATCTTGGCCGCAGGCTAAAGGTTTACCCCACATAGACTGAGCCCTGATCCTCAGCCTCACCCAGAGCTGTAGGGAGTGCAACAAGGAAGCCACACTGCCCAAACACAATCACGTGGTGCAGAACAGTCTCCTTGGGGCCCCGGGTGCTGCTTCATGTCCCAGGTGCTCCACTGCTCACACAGCTCCCTGCCCGTGTGCCTGAGCAGGCTGTGGAAGATGACCCAAGTGCTTGGGCCCTCTGCACTCCTGTAGGAAACCCGGGTGGAGCTGCCAAATCCAGATGCTGGCCTGACCCAGCCAAGTAGGGGGTGAACCAGCAGTTGGAGGATATTGACGCTCTCATTAAATAAATCGATCTGAAGCAGCAATAGCTACCATCCCTGCAAAGGCAGCATTCAGCACAGACCGACACCCATCACCTGCAGCTCCAGCCCCTCCTGTCACCTGCAGCTCAAGAACCAGTGACACGCGAGCACAAGGCTGCGGCTGCCCAGGACTCGGCCTTCTCTTTCTGTATGAATTCTCTCTCTCTGTGGGCATAATGGCTTTTTGCCTGTTCAATTACCCTCCTCCTCCACAAACTGGAAGTGCCTTTCCTGAGACTGTGTGCACAAAGCCAATGTTTGCAATTAAATCTTTTATAGATTACTAGGGGATGTTAGTGACTTTAGCATTCTACAATTCAATTACACCGTGGCCCCGGCAGGCACCTCCATTCTCAACAGGGAACTGCAAGAGGGGAGGGCAGCGGGGGGTGGAGGATAAAGAGACTGCTCCCCAGCAGCCAGCAGAGCAAGGGTAGACAACCTTGCAGCGGATCCAACGTGTCTAGGTCCTCCATCTCGTATTGCTTTTAACTTTATGAGCCCTTTGAAAACGTAATAAAACCTACACACACACACACATACCCACTTAACAGAAAGTTAGAAGCGTGTAATAATGGTCTATTTCCAGAGGGTTCCAAGACCTTTAGGACTGTCCAGCTGCCGGCTCCCTGATGGTTCCAGCCATGTTTTGTAATCAGTGGGTTTTCGTATGTCAAACTCGCACAGCCGAGACCCACCTGCTCTTAGAATTAAATGCCAGTGTACACTGCTGTGCACAGTTCGTCATGACCAGGCAGAGGCTGTGTGTGTGTGTGTGTGTGTGTGTGTGTGTGTGTGCTGCCTGGCCACACACCTGGGCTTTAGGATTGGGGCTCTGCCCCACACCTGCTAAACCGCAGTGCTGCCCAGCTGAGTTCTGCAAGCAGCCAGAGATGCGCTGGGCACAAGATGAAGTCGGAAGGCAGCGAGGCAACCAGATTCCCAGGCAACCTTTTGCAGATGGAAAGGGGGCGGAGGAGGCAAAGACGAGATGTGTCAGCTCAGGGACATCCCCCACCCGCCTCTTGCACAAGAACCTCTGTGCAAGCTCTCTCCTTCCTCCCTCCCCCAGGCATCCAGAGCGCCATCTTGTCCATGGTGCTGAAGCCTAACCTGTCACCTGTCCATTGCAGGGAATGAGGGGGAGAGAGGAGGTGATGGTAACCTACCGGCTGGAGTCCTCACCTTGCATGCACCAGGATCTCATATGGGCTTCTAATCCCGGCGTCCCCACTTCCCATCCAGCTCCCTGCTTGTGGCCTGGGAAACCAGTCAAGGACAGCCCAAAGGCTTGGGACCCTACACTCGCATGGGAGACCTGGAGGAGGCTCTGGGCTCCTGGCTTTGGATTGGCGCAGCTCCAGTTGTTGTGGCCACTTGGGGAGTGAATCAGCAGACAGAGGATCTTCCTCTCTGTCTCTCCTCCTCTATGTATGTCTGCCTTTCCAATAAAAATAAATAAATCTTAAAAAGAAGAAGAGGAGGTCAGAATAACTCCTGCCCCTCAGTGTGTTCACCCAGGTGAAATCTGCTTACACACGTGTCAAGAACAGGGGCCACCCAGGAGCACAGTGGCACAGCAGGTTAAACGACCATTTATGACCATGGCATCCCATACCGAGCCGCTCCATTTCCCCATCCATCCAACTCCGTGCTGATGCACCTGGGGAAGCAGCACAAGATGGACCAAGTGCCTGGACCCCTGCCACCCATGTGGGAGACCAGGATGGAGTTCCTGGGTGCGGGCTTCAGCTGGTCCACCCCTGGCAGTGCAGCCACTGGGGGAGTGAATCAGTGAGTGGAAGGCCTTTCCCTGTCTCTCCCTCTCTGTCACTCTGTCAGATAAATAAATATTTCAACCCAAATATTAAGAACAAATTCACATGAGAGAGGCCTCCGAGGGCCCCATCTTGGTGGGGCAGTCTGGTACCAAGGCAGAAGCCAGGCAGTGTCAACAGGTGCCCTGGCTTGGATCCGGCCTCTACCACCCGCAGCCTTGACAGAGCCTCCAACTGCCCCTCTGTGAAAGGGGACAAATGGAAGACTGTGACATCGCTGTAAGGCTACAGATGACAACAACGTGTGCAAGGTGCAAGACCCAGAGCCAAGTGCTGAATACATGGGGGCCATAGCACTGACCCAGTGACACAGGTGTGGCCACGAGGCTGCGGGCGCCCTGGAGGCCCTGTCTTCATGCTGATGTTGGGCTCACCCTGCAGCCCAGGTCTATGGCTGGATGCTGCCCTTCTCCTGGCTGCCTCCAACCCTCAGATGCAAGGCTGTGCCCAAGTCTGGCCCAGTGAGTGAGAAAGGGCTTGCTTTCCTCTCTTCCAGCTCTGTCTCCACCCGAGAGGATTTCCTATGCTGACGGCAGTCCCCATGGCCAGCCTGAAGGAGGCTACTCCTGTAACTGCAAAGCCCTAAATCGTTGCCACCTAGAGGGACCTGTGAGGCAGGGGGTCAGTCCTGCTGTTGTCAGACCTCTGGGACACAGAGAGATCTGGGGGAAAAGGGTGATGAGCCAAGAAGCCTCTCAGACGCAACCATGGCTTTCCTCTTCTCCCCCAAAGCGTTGACCCAAGAACACAATCAACACAAAAGGAGGAGAGGGGAGGGGACCGTCCACTGTCCCGGGACAGGGCCTCTCACCAAAGTCCAAGTGGCCTCAGATCAACATGATCAACCTCACCCACTGAACAGGTCCTGCATTTGGCATCATTACGTTCCCCAAGCTTTCTAGGAGGGGGATGTTATTCCCACTTCACAGATGAGACAACTGAGGCTCAGAGAAGGAAAGCAAGTTGCACAGTTGACAAGTGTTGGGTTGCAGAATCAGTTCTTTCTGGTCCCAGAAGTTGCCTTCTTTCCACTTCAACAAGCTGCTTTCCTGGACAGAGATGGCATGCCTGGGCCACAGTTACCAGAAGGGATGGTTACAGATACGCCACCCCTGTCACCAAGACGCTCTTGTGGTGAAACTGATGGCAATGCCGCCCCACACCTTGGTGTCTGCTCATGCCAACAGGAGCCTTCGGATTCAGCTCCAGCTGTTGCGGCCACTTGGGGAGTGAACCAGCAGATGGAGGATCAGTCTTTCTCAGTGTAAGTCTGCTTTTCCAACAAAAAACAAACCTTGGGGGAAAAAAAATGAAGCAGCCAATATATATGTCAGTGCCCACATGGGATGCCAAGGTCACAGGTGGTATCTTCACCCGCTAGACCACAATGCCAGCTCCTGCGTTTTGATTTTAAAGGGGGCTCATGGATTCTTGTGTGTAATTCACAATTTGCGGACCACTCAATCCCAGCGCAAAGGTTACAAGAGACTGCCAGCTCTCAAGTTCCAGCTCTGTGCCTCACCATTCCCTTCTGTGAAATGGCAATCGAAGGAACATTTCCTTTTCAGGACAGTACTAAGGATTAAATGAGCTAATATAAACGGGGTGCTGAGAACAGTGCTGGGAGCACAGGGGAACCCCCTCTCTCTTAGGGCTTAGTGCCACCAATGTCTGACTCTGCTCTTGCTTGTTTTTACTCATTTGAAAGGAAGAGCTACGTAGAGAAGGAAAAGGAGAGACCCCTTCACTCCTCAAATGACCTCCCCGGACAAGGCGGGGCCAGGCAGGAGCCTCCATCCAGGTCTCCCACGCTGGTGGCAGAGGCAGCTGAGCCAACGCCTGCTCCTCTCTGGTCCAGTGGCAGGGAGCTGGAGCGGAGGCAGGAGAGCCAGGACTCACTCCGCTTTGCAGGTGGACGTGGGGGGGGCGGGGCGGTGGCTGCACCCTGCTGTGCCACAGTGGCTCAGGCTGTTTGAGCTGGATGTTTGTTTTTCCCCTGGAAAGGAAAGGCTCCCAGAGACGCACCACAACAGGAAGGCAACAGATTTCTGTGAGCACCTGCTGTGAAAAGGTGCCCTGCGCGCAGCAGCTCAAGGGCGCTGAATCAACATCTTACCCCAGCTGGGACGGAAAAGAGGCCAGGCTCGAATCGCGCCCAGTCAGCAGACACCCAAGGCCCTGCCCCAGCCCTGGCTGCACCCCAGACCCCCTCACCGGGACAGCAGTCTCAGGACCAGCCCCTCCCAGATCTGCCCCCTCCACCCCCTCGCAGATATTTCTGGGATCACAGCCTCGGGGAGGAGGCGGAGGAAGGGCAATGAGGGAGGGGGAGATGGATGACAGATGGAGGCGTGCCTCGCCGAGTTGCGGGGGGAGGGGGGGCGGGGGAGGAAGGGAGCAGGTGGGGGGGGATAGGGAGGGCAGAAGGGAATAGCAGTGAAGAGAACTGGAAGAGGGGAGAGAGGAGGCAGAGGGCAAGGAATGTGGCCTATGGGCACACAGGGATGCCGGTGGCCAGGGAGCAGGGGAGAGGCTGTGGAAGCGACGGGTACCCAGAGAGCACCCCTATTTCTCTCCAGCTGAGTGTCTTGCTGCCCCAGCAGTATCTGATGCTGCCCCATGTCCCCCTGGACCTCCCGGGATCACTGAAAGCAAGGACCACTCCCACCTGGACACCCGTTGCCCTACACACACACACAAGTACACACTTGTACACATGAGCATGTGCACATATCCTGCCTGGGCAGCAACTCATTGTGGCATCCCCACTGCCTCGGCCTCCCTCCAGCCCTGCGGGCTCTCTGAACAGGACTCCCTCCTCCTGGGGCTGCCCTGCAGGCCTGGTGGAAGCCATGGAGCCAGCCCTGCAGCCCACATCCAGACATGGGCTCGTCGAGGAGTCAGCAGGACCAGAGAACTGCTCACAGCTCACCAGCTCCCAAATGCTTAATGCCAGGGGAGCGAAACCTCCTGGGACCCAGGCTAGCTCCTGCCTCTTGGTGCCAGCAGAAGGTTCCCCCTGGGGAGGGAGCCAATGGGGCCCACCCTGACCCTCCTATTCATTCTCCTCCACTCTTTCAGGTGTGGGGGGAGCCTGAGAGCGCCCCAGGTGGCTGGAGCAGAGGCTGGCCAGGGGTGGGTCTGACACCACCACATGCAAACCAGGAGAGCCAGCTCTCCACCAAGCCAGATGAGGAGAGCCGCGCTGCTGGTCTGAGGCACCCCTGGCTACTCCTTCCCTTTTAGGGCCCACTACCTCTCTGCTTTAGGCCTTAAAGACATGCACAGTGAATGGTACATTCTGAACGTGCAGTGGGCAAGGTCTTTGTCATTAAGCTCCATAACCATCATGATGGCGGTGTCCCAGGGTCAGGCAGGTGTGCCGGACTGCAACAGGTGCCAAGAGGACAGAACGTGGTCAGTGCCACTCATCAGCAGCTCCACAGCTCCTGGGCACAGCAGGCGCTCAGCACGCAGAACAAGGTGAATGAGCTCAGACAATGAAGTGCTGAGGACTCACCATGCCCAAGAGCGGATCCTGAAAGGAGGGGAGGGAGGGGGAGAGGGAAGGACGGGGCCGGGCACCCCATTCACTTCACTCGTCCTACAAACATGGAGCGCCTGCCACCTGCCAGGCCCTCCTGTAGGGACTAGGAAGACAGCAGGTAACAGAAGTTCTCCCATCACAGACTAGCCATCAGTTAATGCCCAAGTGCTGCTGAAAAACACTTAGGAAGGAGGACTCAGGGGAGGAGCCATGGAGGAGTGGTGGCTGCCGCTCTTGACTGAAGCAAAGGTGAGAGGGAGAGCTGGTGGGGAGACGCACACCAGGCAGCGGGAGCTGCAGGTGCAAGTGTCCCGCGGTTGGGATGCATGTGGTCTCTGTCAGAAGCAGCCAGAAAATGAGCAGAGCTCGAGGAGGGTGGGAGGTGAGAGAGGAGGAGCTCACAGGTGAGGTGGGCAGCCACAGGCCATTTTTCAGGGGGTGCATCAGTGCTGAAGGGGAGCAGGATGCAATCAGGGAACCTGAAACAGCTGTGGGAGAGACGGCAGATCCTGGGCTGGTTCTCAGGGTAGAGACCGGAAGATGGGAAGAGAGAGAAGCCTCCAGGCCACCTCTGAGGTCCCTGACCTGGGTGATTGGAAGATGGAGCCGCAATAAGGCATCTAAGAGAACCCAAGGGAAGCTGGAGCTGGGCTGGGAAAAGCCAGAGCTCTCCTCTGCGGGGCATGGCAGGTAAGCAGTCGGGCTGGAAACCATCAGCCCGGCGTTGCCCGAGATCTCAGTCACAAAATGAGAACATGATGGGAGTGGATGTGGAAAACAAGAGCTGAGCTCAGGGCATGATGAGCAGGAATGGTGGGCGTAAGGTCCCCAAGACCCCCACTATTCCTGGTTCTGAACTCACGTCCCAGCAAGCCAGCAAGACTCACAGGCACCGCTGGGCCCGAGGACCCTGGCCCGCCGTGCTGACCCCTCCTCCAGCACAGACAGGGGGTTGCGGTGGCCTGTGGCTGGGGGAAGCACAGGAAGAACATGGAGTCTCTTTCCTAATCTTGTTCATGGAGGGAATGCAATTTTTCACAAAGGCCACAAATACAGGGATCTTCTACAAGTTCCTGGAAGCTGGGTGGTGTGCACAGATCCCAAAATGCCTTATGTGGAAAGGGCACTGGCACAGGGGCTCACCTCTCACTGAAGACCCTGTATCCTATTGCGGAGTGTCTGGTCCCAGCTCAGGCCACTCTCTGTTCGTTCAAACCCTGGCAGGCAGCACGTCTTAGCTCAAATGCTTGAATTTCTACCATCCCCATGGGAGACCTGCACTGAATTCCGGGCTCCTGGCTGTGGCCTGGTCTGCACACTGACTGTTGCAGGCATTTGAAGAATAAGCCAGAGGATAAAAGATTGATCTCTCTCTCTCTGCCTTTCAAATAAAATGAAGATAATTTTTTTTTAAAGTTAAGTATTTTTGTGAGCCGAGAGTAGTGACACAGCACGTCAAGCCACCAACTGTGAAGTCAACATCCCATGTCCGAAGACAGGTTCAGGACCCAGCTGCCCCACCTCCAATCCAGCTCCCTGCTAATGCGCCTGGGAACGCACCTGCATGGAAACTGGGTTCGTGGTGGCCTTTGACTGTGGCAAGGACACAAGTACTTGGCCCCTGCCACACACATGGGAAACAGATGGAGTTCCAGGCTCCTAGTCCCTCCCAGGGACTTGCCCTGGCACAGCCCCAACCATTGCAGCCATTTGGGATTGAATCAGCAAATGGAAGATCTCTCTCTCCTCTACCTCTCCCTTCCTATCATTCTGTCTTTTAAATAAGAAAAATAAATCTTCTAAAACAAATTTTTGCACCAAAGCCAATTCATCTTTTAATTACATTTCCCAATAATTACTGGGGGGACCTTCCTACGGATGTTTGTGGGCCTGGGTCTGTGTGGCAGAGGTGGTAAGGACACATCCCCGGATGCTCCGGGCTGCCTGGAGATTGGTCCCTTCCAAGCACCCGGAGAGCGTGTGGCCAGCGCAGGACAGCTCTTCCCCCCACATCCCAGATTGCCAAGGTTCTGAGACTCAAAAATGCCGGGGGAGGTGGGAGGACACAGTGCACTCCCAGGTGAGGGACCCAGTGCAGTCCTAGGCCTACCCAGTGGGCTGCGACATGCAACCACCAGGAGGCCATTAGCCCTTGGCCCCTCACCACACCTCCAGGAGCACATGCACGCGCACACACACACACACACACACACCAACAGAGGAGAGACCTGGGGAGCCCAGCTGGAACTTTCCAGCAGCCAGTGATCAAAGTTTCTGGGGTTCAGTAGTGCTCAGTCCACAGCCCCGCCCCTCAGCATGGATGACAGGAGGCAGCCTGGTGACAAGGGCTTGTCTCCTCTCACAGACACGGCCAGGCCCTGAACCAAGAGCACACAGCCACCCACGAGTAACCACTGAGCACCTACTGTATACAGGGGGCACCAAACCAGCCCAGATACACACGGCCCTCCTAGAGCCAGAATGAGCAAGGGACGGGCTGACGCTGTGGCACAGGGACTCAGGCCACTGGTGGCCTGTGGCACCACCAGCCCATATCCACACAGCTTTGAATCCTGGCTGCTCTACTGCTGATCCAGCTCCTGCTAGCGTGCCTGGGAAGTCAACAGAGGATGGCCCAAAGGCCCCTGCATCCACATGGGAGATCCAGAAGAAGCTCCAGACTTGGGCCTAGCTCAGCCTCAGCAATTTCAGCCATTTGGGGCATGAAGCAGCACATGGAAGATCTCTCTTAGTCACTCCCTCTCTGTAACTTTGCCTTTCAAATATATAAGTAAATCTTTTTTAAAAAAAAAAAAAAAGTCAGGTGGAGAACCACAGGGCGGAGCGGGCACCTGCATCCGGCACCCAGGCACTCAGGGATGACCTCTGGGAAGGGCCAGGCATGCACAGCGCTGGGCCCCAGCACTCCAGACAAGAGCCAAAGCCGGGACTCCAGCTCTGGAGGGAGCCTCGCGCCTTCTGGCCACGGCCTTAAGGCCTCGGATGGTGCGGAGTAGGACAGGGCAGGAGGGAGGAGATGAAGCGGCCGGGCTTGGAGGATCGGCACGCAGGGAACCTCCCGTGCTCACTTGCAGCAGGGGGTGGAGGCTTTGTACCCAAGTGACGCCTGCTTTTATATTTCCCATAATTGTTCTGGCTCCTGTTCCGACATCATGAGTGGTGGGTTTGGAGCAGCAACAGGAAACCAGCAGGAGTGTATGCAAGGCTCCCAGCTCAGAAATGGAGCTGCTGCACACCACGGAGGCAGTGGGGCCAGAGGGACGCGTCTACTTAGGCAGCAACCCCAACAGGCCTGGCTAACGAAGGGCACCGAGAGGGGAAGGTTTCCAACTGGAGCTTGTCTGGGAGGTCCCTACCGTGCCACTGACTGTAGGGGGAGAGGGGGAGGGGAGCACTCCAAAGTTCCAGCTGCACCTGCCGTCTTGGAGAAGCCGGGCCACACCAAGGCAACAAGATTTTGGGAGGACGGGTGGGAGCCAGGAGTGACCAGGCCGAGGCCATCAGCCAGCGAGCATCAGGCAGAGACTAGGAGTCCCGAGAAGTTGTTCATTCTTGCCCATCCCACCAGCCCAGGTCTACCGGCCCAGGGGTACCTGCAGTGTCTCCGGGGCCTGGCTAGCCATGCCGCTAGTGAGGGATGCCACTCGCGCAGCCTGTCTGCGAGCAGCCAGAAGGATCTTGCAGTAGGTGAAGCAGATGGCGCCCGAAGGCAGGAAGAAGGTGAGGCCCGAGGCCACGAGGACGAAGGGCAGGCTGGCCAGGAAGCGACACTGGCCCGGGGCGGGTGCCCGCACGTGGCCCAGCTCGTGCCAGCCGAGCAGCAGTGGCAGGAAGGAGGCGAGCGCGGCGAGGCTCCAGGCTCCCAGCACCAGGGCCAGGGCGCGCGCGGGCGTCATGCGCAGCTTGTAGCGCAGCGGTGACAGGATGAGCAGGTAGCGGTCCAGGCTGATGAGGCAGAGGTTAAGGATGGAGGCACTGCAGCACATCACGTCGAAGGCGGCCCACAGCAGGCAGAGGCCGCGCGCCAGCACCCAGCGCCCGTACAGCGCGTTCAGCATGGCCGGCGGCATCACCACCAGCCCCACCATCAGGTCGGACGTGAAGAGCGACACCAGGAAGAAGTTGGACGTGTTGCGCAGCGCCGGCTGCGTGCAGATGAGCGCGATCAGCAGCGAGTTGGCCGCCGCCGTCAGCGCGATGACCACGCACAGCGCCGCCGCCACCCAGCCGCTGCCTCCCGCGGCCGCCGGCGGCCCGGACCCCCACGCCGGGGAGCTGCTGTTGCCAGGGCCCGGATCTGGGACCATGGGGACGCGAGGGTGAGAGGATTGGACGGACGTGTCAGGGTAGAGGCGGGATGGGTGTCGTCTGCGAGCGCAGACCCTCGTCCCCGACACGGAGTGGGATGGGGCGGGGGTTGAGCAGGTGGACAGCGGGATCTCTAGGTCAAAGAGCACCGACCCGAGGAGGACGGAGACAGGTCGCAGGGACCCCTGGAACAGTGGATGGGACGTTTAGGGAGGACCACCTGAAGAGCTGTGTCCCCTAAGGTGGAATCGACGGAAAGTTAGGGGGAGGCCGAAAGAGACCCCTGGAAGCAGGGGACCGTGAGGTGGGGGCGGGGCATCCTGCCCGGAGCACAGTCGCCTGCGCCGGAACAGGGGGCGCGTGGGAGCGTGAAGCCCCGCACGGTGGGTGGGCGTGGAAGGCTCCGGTGCTAGTTGTGGTCGCAAGGTGGTGGCCCAGGAGCCGGAGCAAGGCCTCCCCCTACGCGAGGAGGGTGCAGAGGCAGCCCCAGGGTCGGGCGCACGCGGACCCTGCGGCGCGCGTGGGGTCTCCGGGCCGGGCAGGCCCCGCGGGGCGAGGAAGGCAGCGGCTGCGTCTCGCCCCCTCCGGCCCCGGCCGCCCGATGACAGGCGCGCCTCCCGCCCGCGCTCCGTACCTGGGCGCTTCCCGCTGCTTGGCGGCCGGCGGCTGCGGCGGGCGGCGCGGGGCTGGGAGAGGGCGAGGCGGCGCGGGCCGGCGGGCCGGGAAGAACCGAGCCGGGGTGGCGCCGCGAGGGGCCAGCGCGCGCCCAGGAGCGGGTGGCGCTGCCAGGAGCGCGCGGTCCCCGCCGCGGAGAGTGTGTCCCGCCCCGCTGTGGGCGGGGAGAGCCGAACCCCAGCCTCGCCAGCTAGTAGGGGTCGGGGGTGGGGGATCCAAACCCCCAGGCCTGGGAAGGGGATGGTCGGAGAGCCCCAGCTGCACCGGGTCGCCTTCCCGGGCTGGGGGGAGTGTGACAGCCCCCACACCCCTGTATGCCCCTCTCCACCGCCTACCTATGAACCGCGCCTCTCTCTAAGACAGCTGCTGGAGTCAGGAGTCTACCCACCTGCGATATAACAATGGGATCCAAAATTGCTTGACACCCATTTGGGGCCTCAGTTGTGGAATCTACAAAATGGGTTAATAATAGATCAGAACAGGAGCCGCTTTCCTTGGTCTTCTGAGCAGAAACCTTCTCAGTACAAAGGAGGAAGGGGGCGTCTGACAAGCGTGTTCCCCGCCAGGGAAACAAGGTAGTCGCTGTGGGTGGGATGGGGCTCCCCTGGGTGTCACCAATCCTGTGTGTCTTCCTCCTGCTGAGAAGAGCGCCTAGCCCAACACTGAACACTCCAGAAGGCACTGCGCACCTGCCAGGGGCTGGCAGTGCTCTAAACCGCAGGGACGCTGCAGCCAGAGGAACGGGACCGCTCCCCTCCTCAGTGGAGTTCCATCCCGGCAGAAGGGGGCGTCAGAAGGATGCTCCTGAGGTGTGCGAGAACAGGGTGGGGCAGTGGGGGTTGGTGTTCCAGGGACTTCCTTGTATGAATCCTCCTCTTGCCGGCTTGGTTCACCATCTCTGCTTCAACGCGAAGATTACCACTTGCCAGGGAGCAAGTACAGAGCCAACTGCCAGGGTCTGCCAGCACCCAGGGCCAAGGGCACCCCATTAGAAACCTCAGACCCCATAGCACGCCCCACCTGGCCCGTCCCTAAGCTGCCATGTGATCACTTGGTGCTGCAGGTGCAGAGGCAGACACTATTGTGTCCCAAGGGAGGTCTGCACGGCGCCCACCCCGAGGCTGGACTGTGAGCCAGGGAGCCTAGGGTGCCCACTCTGCCGCAGCCTTCTGAGGACTTCAGCTCAGCAGTCGCTGCGGAGGCCAACGCTGGGCACTGCCAGTTAAGCTCCTGCCTATGTCGCTAGCAGGCCATATGAGTTCCAGTTCAAGGCCCAGTTGTTCCACTTCTGCTTCAGCTCCCTGTACAGTGCCTGGGAGAGCAATGGCGGATGGCGCGAGTGCTTGGGTCCCTGGCCAACCACACGGCAAGTGCAGGAGGAACTCCTGGCTCCTGGCATCAGCCCAACCTGGCTCAGCCCCGGCTGTTGGGACCATCTGGGGAGTGAATGATCTCTCTGTCTCAGTTCATACTCTAGCTGCTCCACTTTCAATCTAGCTGCCTGCTTGTGATGGGAGAAGCATCAGAGGAGGGCCCAAGTCTTTGGGCCCCAGCATCATGTGCCCATGGCTCCTAGCTTTGGGCCAACTCAGCTCTGGTTGTGGAGGCCAAGTGGGGAGTAAATCAGTGAACAGAAGATCTCCTTCTGGCCCTCTCTACTATTCTGGCTTTTAAGAAAAATAAATTTAAAAAAATTTTAATGGTGGGTGGGGAGGAAGCCGCTCCATCTCTTTATTCCTGTACAGCAGGTGGCAGAACAGTATGGCGTACCCTACAAGGCTGCTTTGAAGTGGCCCTAGCACCCTCAGTGAAACTGTCAGTGTGGGGCCAGTGCTGGGCCAGGCCTTGGGCTTCCCAGCTGCAGCATGGGCATGCGTTCAGCTCTGGGGGTAACTCCAATATGGACAACAGCAAGTAGCCCAACAGTGCAGACTGGCCCTCGGGGGCCTGTGTCCTGGACTCACAGCCCTGAGTCCGGTCCTTACCCAGGGGACACCGCTCGGTTCAGTGCTACCCCGAGGTTTGGGTGGTAGAGCCGTGAACAGAATGCAGCAAGCAGCTCACACAGCAGAGGCCCTGGGGAGCTTTAGTTTGGAAAGACTCAGCAGAGAGCAGGAGGGACGGTTAGTCCTCCAAGTAGAGCTCTCTGCCATGTTACAGTTCTTTTATTACTTGAAAGAAAACATGACAAAAATTTCCATTTGAAGATTCACTTGCTGAAATATTTCTTTTTATTGGAAAGGCAGATTTTATAGAAAGAGGAGGAGAGACAGAAAGAGAAAGGTCTTCCATCTGTTGCTTCCTTTTCCCAAATTCCTGCAAAGCCAGAGCTGAGCCAGGCTGAGCCCAGGAGCCGGGCAGTCCGTGGGATCTCCGGTGTGGGTGGCAGGGGCCCTGGCACTCGACAGTCGCATTAGGATGGACCTGGATTGGAAGAGAAGTGTCCAGCCCTGGTGCTCCCATGTGCTGTGCGGGATTCCAGACACTGAACCACAGGCTAAGCTGCGGCCGTGCAACTCCGCACGGCAACCTGGACGTGTGATCCTCCTGGATCATCCATCTCCATGTGCTCATCTGTGGGCCATACTTTGCAATGATGTTTTAAAATTCTTAATCAAATACACACACACACATAAGGCCAGGGTGGTGATGCCACCTTGTGGGCATATCTGTTACCTTGAACTTGAAGCTTCTTCAGAGCTCTGCGTGGGCTCCCCCAGTGGTCACTGGAGGCCATGGAGAAACCAAGTCCTGGTGGCCACCAGGTGTCCGAGTGGAGAAGAGACATTCAGCCCCACAGGCCTTTGCACGGTCGCTTGCAGCCCAAGGCCGGCTTCCTCTGTGCGGGAGACAGCTGAGGGCCTCAGCTGAGGCCTCGAGGGCTCCTGGAGGCCGGAGATGGAGGCACTGAGGTCCAGCAGGTGAGGAGGCCACCGCGGGCAGGAATCCCTGCGCGGCTCACAGCGGCACCTCCGGCACGCAGGAGCAGCTCAGGTCAGCAGCAGCAGCAGCACCTGCAAGCGAGGTCCGTTTCAGCCTCGCAGCGGCCACTCCGGAGGGCTGGCTAAGCTCCGATGCCACCGGCCTCGTACATCCCCCACCATCTGCACCTCCTCACACCCGGGCCTCGGCGCTCAAGATTCCAGTAAGTCCGACTTGACCTCCCCGCAGCTGTGCAGACCAGGCCAGCCAGAGGGGCTGCACGCACAGCGCTGACCCCTGGGGAAGATGCTGAGTCCACCCGTGCTCGTGGACATTTTCTCCAGCTCTGCTGGTAGCCCAGTGTGAGCCTGGTCCCAGCTTGGCAAGTCACACCTCCCGCTCCCACCCCAACAAGCCGGCACAGCTAACGACGCCCCAGCCTGACAGGTCTCAGATCTGCTGGCCTCTGGTATCCAGAGCTGCCTCTCATAGCCCCGCCCCCGCGGCATGGCCCCGCCTGCCCGGCAAGGCTCCGCCCCCTGATTCAGCCCCGCCCCTGAATCGGCTCCGCCTCCCTTACACGGCCCCATCTCCTAACACGGCCCCGCCCCCTCATTCGGCCCCGCCTCCCTTACATGACCCCCCCAAACCCCGCTTCAGCCACTCCTCCCTCCCTCACACGACTCCACCCCCTGGTTCAACCACGCCTCCCTCACATGACTCCGCCCCCTGGTTCAACCACGCCTCCCTCACATGACTCCGCCCCCGTTTGGTCACACCTTCCTTACATGACTCTGCCCCCTGGTTCAGCCACGCCTCCCTCACATGACTCCGCCCCCTGGTTCAGCCACGCCTTCCTCACACGGCTCCGCCCCCTCGCTTGACTTGGCCCCTCCTCCCCGACGTGGCCCCGCCCCTCCAGCCCCAGGCCTTGGGTCCCCACCTTCCCACCCTGTCATACCTGGACCCACAGTGACCCACAGTGACCCACAGTGGTCTCTAGTGCCCCTCTCACCCGTCTGAGTCACTGCAGCCCAGCTCTAGACAGCTACGTCCACTCCAGGGCTTCTTGCTGCAGTGAAGTCTGACCCCTGGCCGTCCGTGGACTGACAGCCATGCCATATTCCCCCACCTACCTGTTCTCTTCCCAATCAGGTCCCAACCTTTTCCCCCTCCCCGCCCCAGTTCATCTCTTTAAAAAAAAAAAAGATTTATTTTTATCAGAAAGTCAGATAGAGAGGAGGAGAGACAGAGAGGAGGATCTTCCAGCCATTGGTTCACTCCCCAAATGTCCGCACTGGCCAGAGCTGCGCCGATCCGAAGACAGGAGCCAATGTGGGTGCAGGGTCCCAAGGCTTTGGGCTGTCCTCAACTGCTTTCCCAGGCCTCGCAGGGAGCTGGATGGGAAATGGAGCTGCCGGGATTAGAACCGGTGTCCATATGAGATCCCGGCACTTGCAAAGTGAGGACTTCAGCCACCAGGCTACTGCACCTGGCCCCCCAATTCCTTTCTTTATGAATCAGTAAGTTTATACCTTGCCTTGTTCCAGATACAGGAAGGTAGCAACTCCTGAGTTGGCACTGGGACTAAATCCACTGGTGCCAAGGCCTGGCACCACCCCCACCTGTGGCAGCCACACTTATCATGGGTACTCCTTTATTTGCAAGTGCCCACCTTGGGGGCCCCCCAGGGACCCAAACTCTGTCCTCAAGTCCCTTCTGTCACAGGTGCTGGGTGTGCACAGAGCCCACAGGGCCCCTTGCCTGGTCTGCAGCAGGTCTGGTTAGCTCAGTTCCCTGTGCAGTGCAAGCTGAGGGCGCGTGCTGGTGAGGGGACCCTGCCAAGGAGCAGGGATGTGACACAGCCACACAGACCCGCTGGCAGTTGGCTCACCGCACCAAGGCGGAGCCTTGCGGGATTGGCCACGAGGGTTCACAACTGGTGGGCTTGCCACAGGGCCCAGGGTCACAGTGAGGGCTAAAGGAGACAGTTCAGCCAGTCCAAGTCAGGGCATGGACGGGCAACACCTGTCAGCTGTGGTCCTGAAGGCCGTCCGCGGTGTGCCAGGGAGGTGGGGCGGCCAGAGATGTCACAGTCAGGGGCCGCTGGAGGGAAAATGAGTGAGCCACAGCGTCTCGGGGTGCCCACACCCCCCACCAGCAGCCAACAAGGACACGAGAGGAGGCAGGTGCGGAAGGGGTTTATTCCCAAGGAGACTTGGGTCTGTCAGGTGGCATCTACCTACTGGCTACAAGGTCCAGAAGCTCTCGTCCAACAGGGGGCAGGGGCAGGGGCGGCGACCAGCAGCGCCCTTGGCACAGGCAGTGCTGGGGACAAAGGCACTTCTTTGCTGGCCCCAGGTCCTACCTCCCTCTGGGGTTAAAGTGCAGCTGGGGTCGACTGGCGGAGGAATGGGTTGGGGGGAGCTGCAGAGAGGTGATGCTGGCCCTGGCACCCCAGTTCCTCGGGCTCAGCCAGGGGCGCCCCTCCCCACCCCCACCACGGATCCTCTTGGGGTATCAGGGTGAGGCAGGTCGTCTTCTGCACCCCACAGGAATGGGGCTGTCTCCATCGGCTTTCCAAGGCCCTAGGGCTTTGGGGAGCTGCTGGAGGCACCCCATCTCCAAGGTGAGGAGAGGGGTGGGGCGCCCTGCTCAGTGACGGCCTGGGAGGTGGGCAGGTGAAAGGGGATCACGCCCTCACCCTCAGCCCAGGGAGGCTCATGTCCGCCCGTCTCTCCCTCCGCTGAGAACCAGGCCGGCTGAGCAAGCCAGGGAAAGGCCAGAGAACCAGGCGTCCACTGGTGCTGCCAATCAGCGGGGTGCCGGGGGCGGGGCCTGACTCCTAAACCACACCAGGGAGGGAGGCACCAGTGTGCGTGGGGGAGCAGCTACCCCGTGGGGCTGGGGGCCACAGAGCTCCGCTGATCACCCCAAGAACCCTGCCCCACTGGGAACCTGCTGTCAACATGGGGGGCCCCTCTTCCCCCACCCAGGCATACACCCCCAATAGGAAGAAAGGGTAAAGGGTACCCCCTCCCTTCAAAGACCCCATAGGACACAGCTTCCTCCCCCGACCCGTGAATATATTAAATTGTGCAGCCTGACTCTGCCCCTCCCCTGCAGATCTCCATGGCAACCGGGCAGCCAGCCAAGTCCATGTCCGAATCCAAGTCCATCCAGTGCCAAAGCGGGGCTTCAGCCTCTTCCCTCACTCCTCCCCGGGCAGGGGGCGGGGGGGTGTGAGACCCAGCATTCCACAGGGGGACGTGGCGGGGGGGAGGAAGAGTGGGGTCCCTCAGTCCTCCGCCCCCTCCTCCTCGGTGTGGGGGGCGCCGGGGGGGTCCTCGGGTTCGGGGGTCTGCCCGCTGGGTTGGGGGTGGCCGCCAGGCTGGGTGCCGGCCCCGTCCTCGCCCTGCATGTAGACACTCAGCCCTTCATGACTGGGCTCCTTGCCGCAGGCCTGGCAGCTGCAATGCAGGATCTTCTCCACCAGTTTGTCCACCCGGGGCACCTCCTTGTGGCCGGGACACTCCAAGGTCACCTGTAGGGGAGCAGGGATGTTGGCAAAGGCTATCGCCCCCCCAACGCATGGTGAGTCCCCGGTTCCAGGAATCCCAGAGCCCACCCTTGCCAGCCCAGGAAGCTCTGTGGGTCCATGGAGGCGAGGAAAGGTCCTGACACCTGGTCCCACCCCCTCCCTGTCCCACAGCAGCCACGGGACCGCTCCCCGGGGGTGGAGAGGGGATCTGACGTGGCTCAGCCCTGTGCTTGCAGGGAAATCCCAGCTCCCAGCTGACCTGGCCACCACGGCCACCCTGCAGCCTGATCTCCCCAGAGCCTGTGCCCAGGCCATTCCCTCTGCTGGAAGGCCCTGGCCAGCCCACTGCCCCCCGACTCTGCCCCACTGATTCGCTCATCCTTGGCTCTACCCAGACCCCACCTGCTGCAGAACGCAGCCCACTGAAGGTCACAACGAGCATCCTTCCCCCCCACCCCACCCCCGCAGGGTCCTGCCTCCTGTCTGCCTTTCCCTTCCCAGCTTCCTCCTATGGAACACCTGCTCCACGTGCCAGCTCTGCGGACACAAGGAATGGGGCAATCCCTGGGGGACCCCAGAGTCTGCCGGGGCAGCTGGGTCAGCCAGAACCAGTCAGACGCAGGTGCAGGGCTGAGGGGTGTCAGAGGCTCCTAGGAGGCACGTGGTGCCCAGGGATCGGACCAGGTTGGGGAGTGGGTAGGGACAGGGCTCTGGAGTGGGATGCCTAAGTCCAGGGCAAATGCATGAACAGGAACTGCTCATGGGAGCACAAGGACAGAGATTTTCCAAGCAGGGCAAGGCCCCAAGGTGTGGCGAGCAGCTATCCGAAGGAAGGGAGCTGGTGCTGGGTGTGCCGCTCGGGGGGAGGTGGAGAGCCACAGCAGGGAGGACCGACTGCACTGGACAGGGGCTGGCAGCGGGACGCCACCCAGGGGACCCTCATGAGCGTGACATGGGGATACAGCTTGGGCAGGTCCTGCTTCCTGAACAAGCTGGGGTGCACCCTGGGCTAGGACCACAGCTCAGTACAAGCCTCAGTGCCCTATGCCGGCGGCCATCTGCAGCCCTGCAGGGTGAGGCTGGTACTCACAATCTCCCACATGGACTGCGCTGGCATGCAGGAGTCGCAGTGCACCAGGGACTCGGTGGACTGCGGGAAGGTGTTGGGGACGCTGTAGCTGAAACACTGGCCCAGGCACGCCCTGTGGAAGGAGACGCCATACCAGGCTGGTGTCACGGGATGGGAGGTGGACCGGTGCCCCAGTCCACCGCCTACTTCTCCTCCCCCCTCCACTCTCCTCCCTCCTCCTCCTCGTCCCCCGACCCCAGCAGGGCCCCTGGCTCCCACCTGTTCTGAATGGACTTGGCCTCACAGCCGCTGTGGCCCACAATCTGTGTGATGTTCTTGGCTTCACACCAGGCGCTCTTGTCCGGGAACAAGGCCAGCTTGTTGATGGGCGGGGGGGCAGCCAGCAGCATGGCAGGGAGGACGGCCCCCACCAGCACACGCAGCATGATGCCCGTGGCCTCCGGTGCCCTGCAGCTGAGCAGAGGGAGCATGTGAGGGGGTGGGGAGGGGCTCTGCCATCCAACTGCCAGGTGTGGATCCCAGCTCTCCCACTGAGGACCCCACGAAACCTGGGCCATGTGGGGCCAGCACGGTGGTGCGTGAGGTTAATCGTCCATCCTGTGGCACTGGGATCCCCCATGGGCGCTGGTTCATGTCCTGGCTGATCCACTTCCCATCCAGCTCCTTGCTTACCCCCTGAGAAAGTAATGGAGGATGGCCCAAAGCCTTGGGATCCTGCATTCACATGGGAGGCCTAGAAGCAACTCCTGGCTCCTGGCTTCAGATTGGCTCAGCTCTGGCTATTGCAGCCATTTAGGCAGTGAACCAGTGGATGAAAGACTTCTCTCTCTCTCTCTCCTTCTCTCTATATAAAATCTGCCTTTCAAATAAAAAACAAGTAGATCTCCCCCCCCCAACAAAAAGGCAGAAGAACCAGGGACACACCCCCGCAGCTCTCAGAAGCTCACAGAAGGGCGGTGAACAGCAAACAGCGCCCACACCAGGTGGCTACTGGGAAGGTTAAACGAGGCATTAAGAAAGCCCAGCTTTAACACACATCCCATATGTGAGCTGTTCTCCGCCGCCCTATGCCCTACGTGGCTTTTGTAAAAAGATTTATTTGCTGCTGCAGGTGGGAGCAGGTGCCCAGAGCTCCATCCAGGCCTCCTGCACCCGCGGCAGGGGCCCAGGCAATTCTGTCACCCACTGTTGCCTTCCCAGGTGCCCGAGCCTGCGGCTGCGCTGGAGGCAGAACACCCAGGACTCACGCCCATCCCGACATGGGACGAGATGCTGGCATCACAGGCAGCTTAGCCCACTGTGCCACAACACCGTCTCCACCAGCCTAGGCAATGTTTTAATAGGACCGGGAGGGTTGAGGTATGGAGGAAGATGGGTGGGAAAAATGTTTCAACTTTCTTTTTCTCCTGTGTGCCCCGGAGAGGAAGGGGAGAGGGTGCTCCTTGCTGTCAAACTACCATGGCACCCAGGGATAAGGGGCCCGGCGCAGTGGCGCAAGTGGTTAAGTCCTCGCTTTGCACACCCGGGATCCCATATGGGAGCCGGTTCTGTCCCGGCGGCCCCGCTTCCCTTCCAGCTCCCTGCCTGTGGCCCGGGAAAGCAGTCGGGGACAGCCCAGAGCTTTGGGACCCTGCACCCGCATGGGAGACCCAGAAGAGGCTCCTGGCTTCGGATTGGCATAGCGTCGGCCGTTGCGCTCACTTGGGGAGTGAATTATCGGACGGAAGATCTTCCTCTCTGTCTCTCCTCTCTGTATATCTGTCCTTCCAATAAAAAAATAATAAAAATAAATCTTTAAAAAAAGAAAGGCAGGGCCCGGCGTGGTGGCGCAAGTGGTTAAAGGTCCTCGCCTTGCACGCCCAGGATCCCATATGGGCGCCGGTTCTAATCCCGGCAGCCCCGCTTCCCTTCCAGCTCCCTGCCTGTGGCCCGGGAAAGCAGTTGAGGACGGCCCAAAGCTTTGGGACCCTGCACCCGCGTGGGAGACCCGGAAGAGGCTCCTGGCTTCGGATCGGCATAGTATCGGCCCGTTGCGCTCACTTGGGGAGTGAATCATCGGACGGAAGATCTTCCTCTCTGTCTCTCCTCTCTGTATATCCGCCTTTCCAATGAAAAAATAATAAAAATAAATCTTTAAAAAAAAAAAAAAGCAAGGCAGAATGAAAGAGAGAAGAGTCGCCTTTCATCAGCAAATTCACTCCCACAAGAGCTGGGGCCAGGCGGAAGGCAGGGAGCAGGAACAGGCCTCCCACATGGAGTCCAGGACCAGGCCAGCACACGCTGCCCCCGATGCAATGACAGGAAGCTGGGGTTCAAGCTGGCACAGGCTATGGGCATCCCAAGCAAGGGCTTACCCTGTGGCGCCACAATACCAGCCCCTAAGCAAGTTATTTTTGGGCCCACTGCGATGGCTCAATGGCTAAATCCTTGCTTTTCCCATGCTGGGATTCCATATGGATGCCAGTTTGTGCCCTGGCTGCTCCACTTCCCATCCAGCTCCCTGCTTGTGGCCTGGGGGAAATGCAGTCGAGGACAGACCAAAGCCTTGGAACCCTGCACTCGCGTGGCAGACGCAGAAGAAGCTCCTGGCTTTGGATCAGCTTAACTCCAGCCATTGTAGCCATTTGGGGAGTGAATCAGCAGAAGGAAGATCTTTGTCTCTCCTGCTCTTTGTAAATCTTATCTGCCTTTCCAAGAAAAATAAATAAAACTTTAAAAAAAAATTACTTCTTGGGCCTGGAGTGATAGCCTAGTGGCTAGGATCCTTGCCTTGCATGTGCTGGGATCCCATATGCGTGTCAGTTCATGTTCTGGCAGCCCACTTTCCATTCAGCTCATGCTTATGGTCTGGGAAAGCAGTCCCAAAGCCTTGGGACCCTGCACCTGCATGGGAGACCTGGAAGAAGCTCCTGGCTTTGGATTGGCTCAGCTCTGGCCGTTGCAGCCACTTGGGGAATGAACCACCAGACAGAAAATCTTCCCCCCTCTTTTTTTTTTTATTTATTTCTGTTGCAAAGTCAGATATACAGAGAGGAGGAGAGACATAGAGGAAGATCTTCCGTCTGATGATTCACTCCCCAAATGATGCAACGGCCGGAGCTGGGTCAGGAGCCAGGAGCTTCTTCAGGGTCTCCCTCAACCAGGGCCCCAGCTGGGTCAGGAGCCAGGAGCTTCTTCAGGGTCTCCCTCAACCAGGGCCCCAGCCTGGGTCTGGAGGGGAGCAGGGTAAAGGCAAGACACCAGCGCAGTACCACAGTCCGCCACAAGATGGCGCTGTAGGACAGTCTGTGTGTGATGAGCAAGTCCAGAGGGGGAAGCTGGCCCAGCATTATCTTCTGGAAGTTTCACCAACTCCCACACCTCAATGAACATGGGGGAGGGAGGTTCCAGAAAGATCTGGAAATGAAGGCAGTGCTGGCCGGGGGTCCTTGGGACCCTGGGAAAAACCACAGGACCCGTGTGTGCTGTTTGAATAATTCAGGCATGTTTCCCCACCTGCAAAGTGAGTGAGGTGGCCTGGACCAATGGTCCTCAAAGCTAAGACCGTCACGGGGGGGGGGGGAGAGCATTTACACTGAAGGTTCCAGCTCAGACAAGCTGGGAATCTGCATGGCGGGGCAGTCCCGAGGGGGTACTTCATGGAGTTTAACCAGGCACAGCTCCCCGAGAAGCCTGGTCTGGTCATGCCCCCAACCCAGCCCCAGAACCTCCTTGCCAGGACCAGGATCACCTGCAGAGGAGGCTGGATCATGCACGCCCTCAATGGTGAAAGGCTAGGTGGGCTGGGTGTGCAGGTGGGGAAGGCAGGTGTGACGGCAGTGGTGCCCTGTAGGGACCCCAGTGACCGTACAAGCACTGCTCCCAGCCCAGCAGGAGACACAGACTCCATTCAGGCTCTCACTCATTTCCGCCCCCATCCACAAGTTCCACTGGACTTTCCGTACAACCACAACCAAACAAAACAGCATGAGTTTATGCCTAATGGGCTGCCTAACTTCCCAACAGGTGCAACTTCCAGGAAGCTTCTGTGCCCCAACAAGGCCTCTGCCCTCCACCCCACTTCCCCCAGGCAGCTGGGCTGAGTCAGGGCTGACCACTGCACACCCCGACAGGACCAGGAGACCCTGCAAGCCCGCGGCTTCCAGGGATGTGTCCCGCCCCACCCCATCCTCTGCTGAATTATGCCAGGTGGAGCCAGGGAGGTAGACGACCCTGGGAGTCAGGCAGGGTGTAGAATGGAGATCGGAGGTGAGCCTTGCAGAGGACGCCAGGAGAGGCCAAGACTGAAGTCACAACTGGCCGAAGTCAGGGACAGCTGGGACTAGGGTCCGGAGCCGGGGTTACTGGGAGACCAGAGAGCACTGAGCAAGGACTGGCCACTGGGGACAGGTGGTGGCTGAGGCTGGGGAACAAAGAGACAAACTGAGGCCCCCCCGCAGAGGTCAGCACAGAGCCCCATCCTGGCCACGGAGGGGTACCGTAACCCCACCCAGGGAGCCCAGCATGGTCCCTGGACAAGTTCACAAGTCTATGAAGGCGCCCAGCACCCTGGAGGCTGGCCAAAACCAACTCCCCTCCATCAGGGCATCATGGGAAAGGCTAGGCGGGCATCAGAGCCCGGGCTGGGCTGGCACAGGAGGCACCAAAGCCTGGGGGAGTCTGGACACACCCAGCCCTGCCCTGGTAACCCAGGACACCCCCAGCGGCAGCAGGCCTGTTTCCTGGCTGTTGGTTTTCCACACAGTCAGCAGTGGCAGTACCATCCTTCCTGAGCTCTGACTGCCTTTCTGGGCCCCCTGCCTTGCTTTCTCCCCGTCCTCGCACAGCTCAGCGGCACTCTGGTCCCAGCCCCCACAGCTGTCACGCAGCAGCGCAGAGGGGAGGGCCGTGGGGAGCATTGGTGGAACAGCACTGAACGCAGGGTGGGTGAGGGAGCCCCAGGGTGCAGGCTGGGAGAGGGACCCAGAGACATGAGCCCTGCACTCCTGCTCTCCGTGCCCGCATTTCACTGATGGGGACCCCCAGGCCCCTGGAACACACACAGTCAATGAGAGAAATCAGACCTACACCTGGGAGGTGGCAGAGACCCCTGAAGTCGTCCACCCATCTCCTACCCGGGAAGCAAGCCAGCCAGCCTACCCACCCTGGAGGCTTCCTGGGGGCCTCGGGTCACAGGGTCTCTGGGGAAGGCCAGGGAGGGCAAGCTTCCAGAGGAGGGGTCTTCCACCCCATAGCAGAACCTGACCATCTTGCCCAGGAGGCCTGCTCTGAGCCCAGGCTGTGGCCCAGCGCATGCCGTATGCACTCTTCCCAGATCCAGGTCGGGAGCTGTGACACATCCACCCCTGGAAAGGTATCCCAGTACAGCACCCTAAATGCCCTCTAGGGGCTGGAGGTCAAGGGCACCCCCTCTCCACCACCAGGGATTATGCATAGCAATCCAACC